AATGTGTGAGTGAGTAGCAGGTTCGCCCCCCCCCACACGCACACACCATAAAGCCCCACACGCAGCCCACCGGCCCAGCAGGACTTTCTCCGCGTCTCCCATGGACTGCTGTTCCAGCGCCACATCACAGGGCAGATGGGGAAGCGGTGTACTGTAAGGGCTTTAGAGCGCCCTAATCTGGTTTCACTGAAAGGGCCTCTTGTTGTTTAGAAAGGATCAGGTTTTATCGTGTCCTCCTCCTACCCCCTCCTCTCCCGGCTCGCTGGATATCCCGCTGCCCCGCTTGGCACCCTGTGTGGGATTTCCATCCTCAGCTGGAAAATGACAGGCTGTAATGTTACTCCGCAGTCTGAGTGATTTAAGGCCCAGTTCTTCATGTCCTCCGTCTTAAAGCGTGGACACCGCGAGCGCGCGAGCAAACGGGCTTTTCATGTGCTTTTAACCGTCGGGATGAAGGGAGCTAGGGAGGACGGACGTGCGGTCATCCTCCTCTGGTCTGATCCTCTGCAGCCAACTGAACTACAAATACACTCTAAATAACAGCAGCTCGCGCGCAGTTATGGTCTGTACAGAGGATCTGACTGTACAGAGAGACGTTACCTCACTAGAGTGCACATGGAAATTAGCGTCTTTTCTCATTTGAGACAAATGTTTTTGTACAAACAAAACAAAACAAAAAACGAAGCTAAACACAAGGGCTGGTTTCCTGGACAGAGGTGAAGCTCAGCCCTGGACGACGCTGCACTCTGAGCAGAGGTTCTCCATTGAAAGGGACATAAAATCCAGGCAGTATTTCACAAAGCAGGAGTCAGCCTGATAGCTTAAGCTCAGAGCTGAAGATTGTCCCATTCGAATGTCCCTAAACTTATTTTATATTGGACACGCTTGACTTTAGGCTTAAGTTATCTGGCTAAACTAAGAAACCTCGCCCTGTGAAAAACTCCCCAAGACTAGGCTTAACACACTCGGCTGTCTGGAAAACAGTTTTAATACCAATGGAAATATACATGTAGCCATAAGTTATTATTATTATTATTATTATTATTATTAGTTTATTGATTTATCATTTGTGAAATAATTTGTTTTGCTAAAATAGTTTATTATTGTTAATGACAGCCTTCGACAACAGCAAAACAATATAAAAATAATAAGTAATAAAAAAGTAATAATAATAATAATAATAATAATAATAATAATAATAATAATACTTTTCCAGAAATCTTACAAACTAAATTACAGCTGTTTTAGAGCTTTTGCCTCTCTGTAAATGTAAAAGTCTTTTTGTTTTGTACTCTTTATAAAACTTTGTTAGCGTTGGTGATTCGATAAATAGATGATTCGAATCAGTTTATTATTTAGCGCCAAATATTTCTACATGAAAAAAATATCACATTGCAGCGAATATTGCGTAATATTTACTCATCAGCTACAAGCTGAAAACAGGCGTCTTCTCGCCATACTCGTCTTCTCTCCAAATGATCACAGATTCCAGCTTTATTTCTCGTTTTTCGTTTCATCATGTAGGATCTGTTTCCTCAACTTTCAGGACAGTTTTTATATGTTGATAAAGGAGCGTTTAAACTGATCACTATCTGCTCCACCGCCTTACGTCTCGTCCCACAAACTGAAGCCGTGACACTCGTCGCTGACCTGCGCTGAAATTTGCTTTCTCATATTGTTGAATATGTGAGTCCGTTCATCAATGTCAGACTAACGTGGTAAATGGCTGTATTTATGCGACGCATCCACGCAGGTAATTTATTCAGGCGCACCTGAGAGATTCGTTGTCCAGGTAATGAAAAACACATACGTATATAATCTCTGTAGAGCTACTGCAGCGCGCGCGGAGTTTCAGACTGGATCATCTCGAAGGCTAATGTTCATAATGTTCTGACAAAACAACGTCTCAGCATTTCCTTCGCGTTCCCCCATTATAATCTCTCCTCATATCTCCGCATTACCTAGATGGGAAGAAGTTTTCTTTTTCCTTCCTCCGCCCCCGAAACCCCCCGCCTCCCCCCACAATCCCATCCAAAAAAAGGGTCTGATCCAATTGCTGAAATGTATTTGATTTCAGTGCCAGGCTTTTACTCGGGGGTCTTTATGACCTGCAGTATCAGAGAGGAGGAAATTGAAAGGGCGGCATGGTCCAGAGTGCTGGAGCCTAAAAGCTGCCATTAAAGCCACATAAAACGCCTCTGGCAGCAGCTGCTGTCCACTATACTGACCTGATCCCCCAAAACAGCAGCGGCTCCACTGAGGGGCTACAGCTTAACACACAGGGAGGTGCAACCTCACACAACCAAGGTGTGTGTGGGCCATGGGCGTTACATGACCAAGAACTAATCATAACAGAATGATATAAATACATGCAAAAATACTTATTATTAAGATTAGGTAGGTAGATGGATAGGCAGGCAAAGGAATGAACAGACAGACAGACAGACAGACAGATAGATAGATAGATCAGATAGATAGATAGATAGATAGATAGATAGATAGATAGATAGATAGATAGATAGACCTTCAATAATTAAAAGCACAAGAATAAGAATGAATATTCTAAGTTGGGTCAAAATGGGCATGGATGGATGGACAATGGATGGATAGACCGACAGACAGACAGACAGACAGAGATAGACCACTCTACAACAAAAAAGAGAAAAAGACTGACTCTAAAATGTTGGGTCAAACATACTAAAGATGGATGGATGGATAGACAAATGGATGAATGAATGGATGGACAGATTGCTCAATAAAAAGAATAAGGATGAATAAGAAAAGTACTGAGGACGGATGGAAGAATAGATGGATGATGACATAAAATAGTAACCACTCCAGGATAAATATGAAAAGTTTGACAAAAATACTAAGATAGATAGATAGATAGATAGATAGATAGATAGATAGATATACCTCCTAATAATTAAGAGCCTAAGAATGAGAATAAATATATAAATTGGGTCAAAATACTGAGCAAGGATGGATGGATGGATAACAAATGGATAGACAGACAGATACTAAAATACTAAAGATGGAGGAATGGATGGACAGATAGACAATGGATGAATAAATGGATGAACAGACAGATTGCTTAACAAAAAGAATAAGGATGAATAAGAAAAGTAAATACAGAGGAAGGATAGATGGTTGATGGATAAATGGATGGATGGACAGACTAATAACCACCAAAAAAAAAAGAATAAGAATGAATGAAAGTTTGGCAAAAATAAAGCTGGACAGACAACCAGACAGACAGACAGACAGACAGAGACAGAGACAGAGAGAGAGAGAGAGAGAGAGAGAGAGAGAGAGAGAGAGAGAGAGAGACAGAATCAGAGACAGACAGATATTAAAAGAGAGGGGCGTGCAGAGAGTTTTAGATTTTCCTTTATTCGACACAATAAAACATTGATTGTTGCAGTTTGTTGACCCGTAAAATGTAAGGGTGAGATTTCCCTTCAGAGGCGAGCATATAATTATGCAAATAGAGAAGTGTCAGAGCTGTGATGTGGAGAGCAGCTTCACTCAGCCTGGAGCTCACCAACAACTTCAGGCAGGATGAGAGAGCCAAGCGCCCAACCTGAACACACCAGTGAAGGATTTCATTCACTGCAAATGCAGTTCAGAGCAGCTTTTTAAAGTCTTCTGAACATTGTTCCTCATGTAAATATTCCACATTTACGCTTTTCTACATGAGTCCTTTAGCCAGTCTGAGACAGATAAAGGCCAGAGCACACTGACCAAACACAAACAGAAACGTTTGGTTGATGTACCATAAACCATTGGTGTACCATTTGGTACACCAATTGTAAACATGCATCATAAACATTAGGATATTGGTGTTTGAATGAAGAATTCTTGGTCAGTGTGCTGTGGCCTTTCTACTGTTTTTAAAAAAGACACTTTTATTCAGTTATGATATAATTAACTTTATTAGCATTCCATAATGTCACAACTGAGCAGCTGCACATCTCCTGTAGGTTTGATAAGTGTAAAGATTAAGGCCAAAATAAGACCTATACACTGTTCGTAGCCCCCAACAACTTAAGTGAAACAGAGTCTGATGAACAGATACTCCAAACTGTCACTCTAAGTGGTGAAATGATATATCGCTGATTTCCAAAGGAAAATATGTACCTCCAAAATACCAACTTTACAGGAGAAGGCGAAAACATTCCTAACTTTTAATGTAAGTTAATGTACAGAGGTTTTATTCCAAAAGATGTTGGAGCATTTCCACTGGTTCAATCATCATGAAATTCTCACACAATCTAAAGGACAACTACTGTGTTCAAATAATGTGTAAAAATACGTTAATAGACACGTTTTTCTTTGGACAGTGACGATATGCATCTCCTTTTCAAAAGCTTCTATGCAAAATATGAAACATATTCCACATAAAAAGATGCAGCTGAGAGCTAAAGTGAAAGCACTTTAATTAGTGCTGGCCACGGTCAAAGGCAGCAGTTCATTGAAAGTAACTGTAGCGCCGTGTTCCGTCCTCTGCGTGTTTAGGAGAAACGTGCTGCTTTAGGCTCCATCTGATCTGCTGCTGCCTTGACTGACACTTCTTGTGTTTAACACTGGCCTCATTGTGCGTGCAGGCCTCTCCTCTCCTCTTTCTCGGCGGAGCTGCGGCGCTGTTACGTGAGCTGAGCAGGTGAGGATGGCGGCTCACCTTCCCTGGGAACGGGGCAGCCAGGCGGCCTTATCGCAGTGCTGACCTCTGACCCCACAACTCCTCACACTGAAAGCGATGCCTTCACAAGCACTGGATTGTAAATAGTGTGAGTCAGAGTGAGACTGGAGGATGAAAACCTGAAATAAAGCTGATTTGCACAATGTTAGAAGTAAAGCAGGGGACAAAAAAAGCACTTTAAAAAAAAAAAATAAAGGTGCCAAAAAGGGTTTAGAAGAAGAACTATTTTACATTCCCTAAAGAACCTTTTATTAAAATGGCTCTCTATTAGACGGAATAATATACGAACTTTAAAAGAAAGTTTTATTAATTTATTTAATAAAAGTCATGAACACACTGTAAAAGTTCTAAACATACTGAAGGTTTTTTTCTAGAACTGCATGTCCAAGGCAAGAACTGAATGTAGACTAAGTTAAAAAAAAAAAAAAATGGTGTAATGCCATAAGCTTAAAAAAGTATTTATTCCATAACAGCCATGTTTCTTGCAGATCATCATGAAAAAGAAGAACAAATAAATCAGGTGGGACAAATATTCCAAAGCTGAAAGCCCAACAGACTGAAAACACAACTTTGTCAAAGGCTGACAATCATCTAACAGTTCAGAATGACTTGCATTACATTTAAAGACAGAAATAATGACGGTGCAACAGTAGAAAACTCACAAAATAACATCAAACAAGATGAATAAATCATTTACCAATAAATCCTACACCCATTCAAAGTGATTCTGACTTCTCAATATAAATGTAGAAATCACTTGATTAAAAAATAGCAACTGTTAAAATGATCCATAATTTACATATCAAATGTAGGCCTGTATTTTGATTTGGTTTAAGGCTGCACTTCTCACACACATATGGCTTAGTAGTCTATGCTAGAAAAAAAAGCAAGTTTAAAAAAACTGAACTAAAGAAGGGAAGATGAACTTAATTTGTCTTGTTTATTCCTAAGGCAACACTATTCAAATTCCAAGGTTTTCGCTTCTCCAATTGAGCTGTAATAAGCAACATCTTGCAATTAAAGTTAAATAAATTGTGAATATTTTTAGGTCTACTAGGCTTTTAAGACTTTAAACTTCAAGTCCGCGGTAAAAACAGTTCTAAGCAAAAAAGCCTAAAAGCATCTGATGTTCCTGAATATGGATATATTTAGTGCACTTCTCAAATATCCTCACATCACTCATTTATTTTGGTTAAAACTACATGTAAAATATGCAAATCACGCTTGCAAATATTGAAATAGCCTTCAAAGATCTAGAATTTGTCAGAGTATGGGGAGATTATATTTTGAGTTATGTGCTGATGCGTTTGAGCGACGTATCTCTATGCCTTGACTAATTCCACATTGTCCTGAAGACAAAGTCTTTTGTTTATTCCAAGAAAGTGACATAACATGAGCTTTAGGGAGAGCAGAGGATGTTAAAGATGTGAGATTTAACAGGCGTGAGCACTGAAAAAAGGGAGGATACATTGTGCAAACATCTAAAGGAATCCTTTTATGCTTTGGATATTAACCCTCCCAATCCTGACGTGCAGGAAGGACACGACTGATATTCTGACACTGCTGAATTAAATTATCTTCTCTGTTCAAAGGCGCTACCCTAAAACTCACTCTTGCTATGTGGCTTTAAGTGATTTAAAAGCAGTAAAGACTTCTGTAAATCTATAGTATGATGTCTTCCGTGGCTTTCGTGACATCCTTCCAGATGCGCTGTTCAAATCGGAATTCCGGGGATGCTAATACGATTATAAATCAACTACTCAAATTATTACTTGCTGTGAGGAAAGATCTGTGTCAAATATGTACTTTCATGAGCAAAATCATTGAGTATTGCGAGTTCTATTAGGGTCATGGCGTTCAACAAATCCGAGAATTGGCCACAAGTCTGGAATTTGAAGTATGAAAACGGCCAAAGCACAGCAGCACTTCAAATACATATTTAACCCAGGTCAAGGCAAGAGCGTGAAAAAAGCTGAAAAGGAAAAGGTAGAGCTCTTTGAGGGCTGCAAGTGGGCTCTAGGACCTGGGGGACAATAGTATGTGTATGAGCGTGTATGTGTTTCCCAGGCATTAGCTCAGTTCAGAGCCATGTCAGGACAATTAGAGGTGCACCGCGAGGCGCAGTGCGGAGCCGCCTGTCATCCTTAATCTGGCCACCGATGGGCCGCCACAAAATCCACACAGCAGCCCAGGGGAGGCACAAGCAGTGGAGCCATATTGCTTTGACAGTTGCGCTCATCTAGAAGTAATGCAAAACGCTATTCTGATGTATACATGCCGACCCTGCACTCCAAAACATAAGTGTTGGGAGGAGGGCCTGAAGGAGGGTTATTTTTCATTAAGAGCAAGAAAGGAAACTGATAGAGGGTTGAGGAAGAAGGTTCTGGATGTTCTTGAACATCCCTGAATGTTCTACAAATCTTCATGCTTGGTTCGGTTGGAGCCGCGTGTGGTTACTGTGGTGGAGGGCTCTTCTTCATCCACGTCCTCCTCCATCTGCTGCTCCAGGTGTTTGTCGAAGAACTTGAAGATGGAGTGGAAGCTTTTCCATGAAGTTAGCTCATGCCTCTCAGTGCCTGTTAATGTGTACATAGAGAAAAAGGACATATTAAATGTATAAACATAATAAAGATACTAAGAAGATATTGAGCAAAAGAGAAAATGAAGACGCATTCTATGTTAGAGGTGAACTAAACGGCAAGGCAATGTCTAAGCAACACCATGGAGAAAAGTACCATCGTAACCTTTCAGATGAAGTGAATTTTTGTTAGGAGGACGGTTGAGGTGCAATCATCTTTGCACTGTGTCAAAAAAGCTATAGAACCATGGGATATAATCTGAATCTATGCAGGTGAAACAGATTTATCAGATTTTGGTGCCAAGGTCTGGAGTACCACAAACGAACTCGCGCCATATCGTGTTCCGTATATTCCCTTACTGGCTTTTTCATTTATTGAGACGTATGCAAAGTGATGAACAATGGAACCACTGACCACCACCGGTGGAAGATTGAGTGTTCTCTCTGGTGACTAAAGCCCAGCTATCAGTTCATCCGCGGAAAGGCTCGGTTTCTGCCTCTCGCGGCAGGTTAAAGAATTCCCATGTTCGGGTCACTGGGCTCCGGAGGAGTGACATGTACACCTCAAGTCCCCGTCGTACCTTTTCAAAGTCCTCATCAAACCTTTTCGAAGTCCTTAAGGCACCTCTCCACAGCAAGAGCGACAGCGACCCCAGTACTTAAATGCTGTAATTTGTCATTTTATTGTGTTATCTGTCAGCACGTTATCTTCTCTGCAAGCGCTCTCCATGTACTGTATTGGAACGGCACTTGTCCGCACCCGGTTATTGAGTACAGTTAAAAATTTTACAGTGCCACTGATTTCTCTCATTGCAATACTGGCTTTGTCTGCAAGCACTCTCTGTGTGGTACAAAGAGGATCAGCTCAATACATCTTTTTTGTTGTTCTTTTCTTTTTCCTCTGCATTGCGACTGGATTGCAAGGGCCTGCCCGCAGGGATACAATTAAAAAGCACCTTTAAGGCCCATGCCAAAAGAGCTCTCAAATGGCAACCATGCTGACCTCCATGTTTATTAGACTGACCTTTGTCTGGCCAGTATTGATAAAGATAGCTGTGCTGAGATGGCTAAGGTGTGCGTGTGTGAGTGTGCATCAATGGGTTTTTCGAGCTTGGCGAGTGATCAGCGCCTCAGGTCAAGTTTACCAAGCTGGCAATCAGCGAGTCAATAACTCCTGCCCAAACAATCTCTTTACCTGTGTAGGTCCTGGCACAACACAGCACTGGAGAAGAAGACATCGCCTCCATGGCTCTTATTTATAATTTATATCCAATTTAAAGCACACAGCCTCCAATTGTTCTCCCTTTTCCTCCAACTAGCTCTTTATTCCCCTCCTCCCTCCTCACTCTTTCTCTCTTTTCTTCTTCAGGAGTGATCAATGGCCGAGGCTTATTTTTTGTTACCTTGAACCAGCGGTGAACTCCAGAGCGGCAAAAGCCTCTCACACTGATGCTGGCTACAGGGTCAGCAACAGTGCGTCTCCAAGCAGATATGCAAATGGCACAGGGCCCTGCGGCGACCCCTGTAGGAGCTCCGCCCCCGCCGGCCACATCAACCTCTGACGAGCGCTCGCCAGCACGCTTTACTAATAGGCTTTTATTACACCACCACGCCATCTACTAATTGCCAAGATGTGTCGAATGTAATCAATAGTGTATGTGTGGGTTACACTTGATCATAGAGTGAGAATGGAGAAGGACAGTCATGTGCAGTCAGGCCTCAAATTCAATTAATGCCCTTAAGATGTGCCCGCGGATTACATGTCTTTTCTCTGCGCAATGACTGGTCTGCCTCTTAAAGAGGAAGAAATGACAGTCACTCTTTCTCTCTCTCTCTCTCTCTCTCTCTCTCTCTCTCTCTCTCTCTCTCTCTTTTTCAGGGATTCTGTTTTCCAGGAGGGATTTTTCATAAGCTGTTGGCTGTCAGAGGGATATAGCTGATAAATTTCAGCCTCATAAAAGTAGTATTAATGTCAAATTAAAAAATCATTACGACATTACTGGGAGGATTATTAAACTATCAGTAAAGCTCATCTACACAATCAGTAAAATGGAAAAAGTCAAATTAAACATTTTATCTAATTATTAAGGTTATGCTCTGTTTGTTAATTTAATAAAGTGTGCTGTATTTACACAGTTTTATTAATGTTTAGAATTTGCAGCACTTGCATGTTAAATCTATTTTTGCAGCAAAGACAGAATAATATGTTTTACTAAAGGTCTGTAAACACATGGCTGAATAATAACTGCTAAGTGATGTGCACCACGTTTAGTACCACAGCAATTTATTTTCTTGTTCATATTATTTAATCAAATTGTACAGGGAGAATACAAAATTAGGGAAAAATGCAAATGTACTTGAAATATACTTTAGATTTTTCCCTTTACCTGTAACTAAAGTAAATGTATTACATCAATATCTGTAATGCATATTAAAATATATATTCTATAAACTGCATTAAAATGAATCAAAATAAAATTTCTTGTACATTTTTTTTTCAATTGGCCATCAAACTTATATAAATATATTCAATATTATTTACAGAAAGGTTTTCAATTAAAGTTTTAAATATCCAACTAAAGTTTTTTTTTATTTTTTGCATTATATTGCATTGAAACTGTGTGAAATGTTTTGATTAAATGAAATTTTAAATGAAAGCAATATTTCATGTAGTTACATTAAGTTATCTTATTAAGTATAGCATCTATAACCTCCAGATAAATTATACATATGCAAACAGCTTGCATATACAATAAAGGGAAAACTGCCCTCTTTGTCAGTAAACCAGAGTGTTGAACTGAAAACTCTCTGTGTGCTCTCTAATAGAACAGAACAGATCGGACCACTGTGTTTGTAATGTTCATTGTGCGCTCTATAAGTCACTATTTTAAGATTTTTCTTTCAGACACAAGGAGATCTCATTTATAGAGCATTCTGATGCTAAATGCCCAACCGGATTCTTTTCAGGATAATTGACTACCTCTTTGATCTCTTTGGGACAAACCGTCTTTTTAAAAACACACAAACACAAAGTTATAACCCCATAAACCCACTAAGTCACAAACAGTAATCCTGGCTGCCTGTGAAAGCATCAAAGAACAAGTATGGAGTGAATCAGCAGTTGCAGCACCACTGCACGTATTACTCCAAGCCAGAGAGGAAAAAAGAAAAATATCAAAGTGTGCTGATTGTAATTAGCCTCCATCTGTAGCATGCCATTCAAACCTGTCTCTTAATTGATTGAACACGACTGGCATACTTCATTTAATTTTCAAAATTGTTTGCTCTTATTAGGGGGGCATTTTGATATGTCCTAATTACACTGTTGTGGGAAAATAATGGTATCTTAGATTCCAGTAATTATGAAATAAATATAGAAATAAATACGTAAATAAATAAACAAATAAATCAAGTGTCTTGGGTATTTCAATTTATGTTTAGCATCACAATGAATGTTCAATTGTATGCTGTTATCAGCAAATCACACAAATCTAGAAACTATAAATATGTACTCACATTAATCTGAATGAAAATAAAGTCTAGATAAAAACACGCTGAAATTATAATATATGCCATTACATTTATAAATGTATAACCCATAACATACTCTAAAAGTAGCTGACACTGTAAGTGAAGGGAAACTAGCGCTAGCCAGACATTGTAACTTGTTTGCTATGTGTGTCCCTGTTGGCATCCAAGTTGGATCTCCAACCTGGTCACTCCATGATTTTGTTTGTTTGATGCCCTGGTGGTTTGGCAGTCTCACTGTGCATGCCTGACCAAAGGAAAGGAGATCTGAGTGTGTTCAGCTGGGGACCTACAAGACCAGTCGAGGTGCCAATGTTCTTATGCACTGCACTAACACGTCTCTCAGTAACAGGGAATGTAAAGCCATAAGCCATAATTCATAAGACGGCTAATCAAATCTATATTTACTCATATAAGCTCCAGCCCTCCTCCCTTTGAAAAACATGCAGCATCACACTTCATGCCCAATGCCAGAAGCACACTTTACAGTTATTACTGTTGTGGCAAAAGCATGCCTTGTTTGTACTGGGTGTAATTAAATTAATGTATTAAAAAAACACGCACTCACACTTGTGGATACAAAGGGGGAAAACCCATAAATGCACGCACCTACAATTTCATCAAAAAGTCACACCGCTCTAATGCAATTCGCTGTCAACACTTGCCCATGTAAGGGATGGTGTCTGCCGATATTTTCCCCCCTCTCTGCCTCTTTTAATTACTTTACTTATTATTGTCGTTGGAGCAAACAGAGGCAGAACTCATTACACAACCATAAATGAGAAAAGCTGAACGAGTGGCTTCAGGGCCTGCTGAGAGGACTTGCAATTCACTTTACTAAGAGAGAGAGAGAGAGAGACACATATTGAAGTTATCACTACTCTCTTCTCACATTATTTAAATTGTTGAGTTTTGAACTGAGCAGGGATTGAATATGCGGTCCACTGCACGTTCCCACAGAGCTTCCCTGAACCGGCCCGTACTGGCAACCACACGTGTTCCTTTCATTTGCGAGACATTTCTTGTAATAAAGAAGGCAACTTTATAGAGCTGGAATGGAGTCTTTACAAGACAACCATAGAGCAATGACCAGTACACACTGTCCAATAGGACATCATGGATTGCTTTAGGTAAAATTATACCCCATGGCTTTGCTGATGGTTTATTTAGTTGCATCATAGTAAGTCTTCAAAAAAGAGACTGGATGGTCTGGTGCCAAACAACAACTAGACATTAACATTAGCCCTTAGGAAGTAAACCTGTCAGGTCTGCCCAAAATGTGGTCTGTCGGTCAAAGTTGGCCCAGGAGAATGTTTGATCTGGCCTGTCAAAAATTACCATAATCCTACTGTCCTACCCAACGAGAGAACAGATTTTTATGCTATTACAAGTCTTACTTTCATTTTAAAACAGTATTTTTAAGTAGTAAGAAAACATAGTCTAATGTTATAAAATACCTTTTATTAAAAC